TGGAGGCTGGGGGTGTGCAGACCAGGGGGCCATGTGTCCTTCTCACTCCTGAGGACAGCTGAGTGTTGACGCTCCCAGGCCATCCTGGTCATGTTCCCAGGCAATCACCTAGCCTGAGCCACGTGATTACACTTAACCAGGAGCCAGTGCCCTGCCTCCAAACTTCAGAGGCCCAGGGGTACGGGGACAGCCTGGCTGCTTCTTGCCCACACTTGCACAGAACCTGGAGTCATTCTGGTCATGCTGGGTCCCAGCTGGGAACTGAGTTACACAGTAAGAGCCCCTCTGTGGCAACCCAGCCATCCTTTCTAACAATGATCCCCAATGCATTTATGTACACAATGACTAGCTGCAACCACAGGGTTCTCTCTGCTGGACCTGGGGCTTATGAGGTCTGCCCAGGAGAAAGCACTAAACCCCACCCCCCAAAGTTGCTGGGTGACTCTGGGCAGGCCACACCTCTCTGAATCTCAGTTTTGGCCATGGGATAGGGGATGGACCAGAACAATCCTAAAGGTCTCTCTGGCTGTGCCAGGCCATGCGAAGGTCCCTTGGGGAATGGCAGTCACTGCCTCGTCTTGTGCTTGAGGGCTAAAGGTGGGAGAGGAAAAGCTCAGGACTGAAATGGAGGCTCCAGGGGACAGGACTTTGATATGGCAGTTAAGTCACTGATCAGGGCATCTGCCTCCCTTTGTCAGACTGTCCGGTTCGAGTCCTGGCTGTTCTACTTTCAGTCGAGCTTCCTGCTGATGAACACCCTGAGAAACAGCAGATGATGGCTCATCCCTGCCAGGTGCTGGGGAAACTCAGGTTGGATTCTGGGTTCCTGACTTTGACCTGGCTGTTGCGTGAGTTACTTGGGGTGGGGGAAGCAAATCAGTGGACAGAAACTTCATCTACCTGTTAACCTTTCAAATAAAGGAATATATATAAATAAAAGGTTTGGAGGTAATAAAGCATGAAATTGGGGCTTGAAAGCAGTGGGGTTGGTCCTGGCTCATAGGTCTTAGGTAGAGCTCTAAGCTCCCCACCCCATACTGGGCTGGAGGTCTCTGAGCAGCAACTGGTTGCTAGGGACGCGCTGGTTTCCAGGAGGAGAGGAGGTGGGAGGCGGTGCTGTGTGGCTGGGGTTAGCAGAGGGTCGCAGGTTGCCACTCAAGCTATGCCAAGCTGGGGTCACTGTTGTCCCTCTCCACATCCTTGGGGTGGTGGTGTGGGGGGTGGTCCCTCGACTACCCACCCCACTAAAGCTACACTCTTTCAGAGGAAAATGCTTGACTGAAAAGCCTCAAGCCAAGTCAGAAAGGAGAGGGGCCCAGGGACACTGCAGGCGGGGCCTCCCAGGCCGACAGGGCCGTCCCTCCACCCCTCCGCCCGTCCCCTTGTGAGGTGGAGTCCCTCTCCCCGGGAACCTGGGGGCTGGCAGCCCCTGAATAGCGGCCCTGCTGGCTGCTGCCCGACCATACCATTCACGCTGGCAACGGGGGAAGGTAGCAGCCCTGGGGCTCCGAGGGGCAGCACAATCTTGTGCCTGTGTCCCCTGCAGGGTCTCCAGGCCCTGAAAAGATTCCTGGAGGACAAGGCAGAGCTGCAGGAAGCCCCAAGGGTGCTGGCCCTTCAGGGGACGGGGGTTTGGGATCCCTGCTCCCTCTTCCCAGCCTGGTTGCCATCCCTACCCTGTCAGCTGGGGCCTCCCCTTAAGGCAGGGCCCAGAGTCTTCCAGACAAAGCCAGATCCTGGAGGACAGTAAAGGTACCAGGACTGCTTGGCTGTGAGCACTGGAGCACTACACGGAGCTCCTGGGGGGTGGGGGCTGGGAGAGACAGCCAGAGCGACCTTCTCACCAAGCTGGACCTGCTCAGGGCTAGCTCTGAGGTCAGTGCTGGGGCAGGGGTAGGGGGTGAGGAGGGGAGAGCTCAGGCGAGGCCTCGGGGAGGAAGGAATTGGAAAGGGGGAGGGCTCTGGGAAGGTGTGAGGGTGTACTCAGATCCTACTCTGCACAGAGAGGTCCTAGGATCTAGGCTGAACCTGCAGAGCAGGGCCTGCTGCTGGATCTGACTCCAATGGGAAAGGTGAGGCTCCCACGGCCCTCACCCAACACGTGCCCTCATGCAGCGGGATGGCCTGGCCTGCCAGGGAGGGAGGGGACTCGGGTCTTTTCCCCCCTCTCACTGCCACAGGAGCCACCTGGATGCTCCTTAACATTTTTTTTTTTAATGATGAAAGGCAGAGATAGAGTCAGAAGGACACAGAAAGGCGTACAGAGACTTTCCATCTACTGGTTCACTCCCCCAAGAGCCTGAAACTTCATCCCGGTCTCTCACGTGGGTGCTAGGGACCCATGCACTTGACCCATCATTGCCTGCTTGCTCCCAGGGTGTGCGTTAGCAAGAAGCTGGATCGGAAGTGGAAGCAGGACTCAAACCCAGGAGCGCCAAGGGGAATGGGGCACCCCAACAGCTGGGCTACGTACCCACTCAACTGCTTTTCACATGGACCCCAAGACCTGCAGCCAGGACCCTCATGGATCCCCACACCTATTGAAGGTCATGAAATGACACCAGAGCTGGTTGGATGGGGGCTTTTCTCCCAGATCACACTGCTCTGTCCTTGCTCCTCACCCAAGTATCGCCCAGGGCGGGAGGGAGGGCAGCTGGCTTCCTCCCTGTGGGAGGCAGCAGTGGGTACACCCGTCCCCTCCTCCTGAGCACTCAGGGAAGGGTCATCCTGCGTAGGACTGCCCCGTTAGTGCATTCTCCAGGCAGGACGTGTGGGAGGCAGGAGCTCCGGCAGCTAGACAGGCATCAGAATTTCCAGCTGTGAGTTGGGCAGCCTTGGCTGTTTCTGGAGGGTGGTGGCAAAAGATGGGCATGGGGGGTTGCCCAGGATGCACGGAGGGTGGATAACAGCACGGCTGCATCCTGGGAGCTGGATGTCGGGTGAGTGCCTGGAACAGGGCTGGGAGCCAGGCTTTACTCTATACCTGTTGCTACTATAGGGAGCACTGGCCGGGCCCCTGCTATGGGCTACAGAAACCAGCTCCCAGCTGGGAGGGAAGGACAGCTATTCTCCCCCAGCCTTGGGAAAGATCCCAGTGTCAAAGAAATGGCCTTTTTCTTTTTTTTAATGGGACCCTCTTGGGTCTGTTCTGTTCTATGCATGGAGAACTTAAAGATCGCAATTGTTGACCTGCAAGCTAGAGGGAGCCGGCTTCTGTGTGCTGCTTAGCTGTGTGACTGTTTCAAATACCTGCCAATGCATTTCATTTTCTCTATGATCAAGTTCTCTCTCTCCTTTCTCTTTCTCTCTCCTTTCTAGCCTTACACAAACCTGAATCCACTGCCATCATTTAAACATGAGGAATGTTTGCCTAAGAAAATCCAGATTTCTGGTTTCTCTGGGGAAATGGGAAAAGCTGACCAGACTGCATCTGTTTTCTCACACTGACCCATCAACCTGGGCTCGAAAGGGTTCAGCTGTGTGCTCCAAGTAGCCCTGCCTGCATGGCCTCTTTGGTCTGTAGGCACTTAAAAAATATATATATATTATTTATATATATAATGTTATATTATATATAATTCATATAATAAAATATTATATATTTTATATAACATTTATATGTAAATATTATTTCCAATAATAAATATATTATTGGAAAGGCGGATTTATAGAGAGAAGGAGAGGGAGAAAGAAAGATCTTCCATTTGCTGGTCCATTTCCCAAGTGCCTCCAATGGCCAGAGCTGAGCTGATCCAAAGCTAGGGGCCAGGAGCTTCTTCCAGATCTCCCACGTGGGGACAGGGTCCCAAGACCTCAGGTCATTCTCCTCTGCTCTTCCAGGCCATCAGCAGGGAGCTGGATCGGAAGTGGAGCAGCCAGGACATAAACTGGAGCCCATATGGGATCCTGGTGATGGCAAAATGAGGATTTAGCTGCTGAACCATTGTGCCAGGAACTCTGTAAGCATTTCTGTTTGCAGCCCCAGAGATTTCCAGCAGTTTATCCTATTTTTCGGCCTGTAAGGCCCACCTCTCATGGGTGATAGAGACGATGATGGGACTCAAGCCAGGTCTTCACGTGGGTGGCAGGGACCCAAGTGCCTCAGCCATCACTTGCTGCTTTCCAGCGATTTAGCAGGAAACTGGATTGGTAGCAGAGGCAGGGCTTGATCCAGGGCACTGCCATGTGGGATGCAGGCTTCCCAAGACACAGGCTTACCCCAAAATATTTTAAATTATAACTAGGGCTGGCATTGTGAGAGAGTTGGCAAAGCTGTCATCTGAGACACCAGCATTCTACATGGGCACTGGTTCATCCTGGATGCTCCATGCTAATGGCCTCAGTATGCAGTGGAAGATGGTTCAAGTACCTGGCTCCCTACCATCCACATAGGAAACTTGGATGACGCTTCTGTCTTCCACCTGACTCAGCCCCGGCTGTTACAGCTGCTTTGGAAATGAACAGCCAAGAGAAGATCTCCTGCTCTCTTTCCCTCTCCCTCTGTAACTCCGGAAGAGGGTAGGGACTTGGCAGAGTGGTTGCAAGACCACAGGGTATGCCTGCACCCCATACTGGATTGGAGTCTCAGCCCTGTTTCAAGCTTCCTACTAACGCTTACCCCCAAGAACGCTGGATTGCCATTGGTGATAGCCCAAGAATGTGGGGGTCCTGACACCCACATGGCTTCAGCCTGGCCTAGCCTGGACTGTTGTCAAGGCTAGTGAGCCAGTACGTGGAAGATCTCTGCCTCTTTTTGAAATAACAGTAAGCTACATAAAAATACCAAGAGGCATTACCCACTTGTCCCCTGTATGGCAGCTTGGTATGGGGTAGGGTGTACGGGACAGAGGGTCAGGTGAGCTGAGGCTCAGCTCTGTTCAATGTCAGCTGCACGTCCTGTCCTCTGGGCCTCATTTTCTTAGCCTGTGATGTGGCCAGACTACTACCTATATTAATGGGCTCAGTCTCCATGGGTGTCCCCGGCAAGCTCTCCCCCCGACCCTGGTGTGGCCCATGGCTCTGAACTCCTGCTCCCTTTCTGTTGCAGCGGCCATGAGCACAGAGGGACCCAGGTTCACCGGCTCTGCGGCCACCAGCCCCCTTGCCTTTCTCACAGCTCCAGGCGCTGCTGCGGGGACCGCGGCAGAGGCAGCCAGCCCCGTCCCGGTGCTGGTGGTCCTGGCCTGCATCTTCCTCGTGCTGGCCACCTGTCTGCTGTTCATGGTGCTCTGCAAGCCGGCCGCGCTGGATCCACGCCGCCGCGGCGCCCGCGAGTGCATGCCCCACCACCCCGGGAGCCCCAGCGAGCCCCAGCTGCGCCTCTGGAGGCGTCTGGGATCCCTGCGCCGCTCTCTGCGCACCTTCAGCTTCCGCCGGGGCCGGCCCGCCGCCCCTCGACGTCCCCTGCCGGCCTGCGACTGGGGCTGCAAGGAATCCACCAAGATGTGATTGGTGTACACACGGAAGTCCCTTCTCTACAGGTTCACCTGCCCTGGTCACAGCCTGGCCCCAAAGCAGCCCAGACAACTTAAACCCTACAACTGTGCCCGATCCCAGCCTGACCTCCTAGCAGCGCACCTTCCGCAGCTCTGCGGCGCACCTGCTGCTGCTACTTGCTAAAGGATCATGGGGAGCACCTGCTGTCACTTGCATCCATGGTCTGAGCTGAGATGTGCCACCTGGGACTCCCCAGACACCATTTGCCTCTGGGAAGGAGCAATCCTGCTGGACCACAAAGCCTCATCTGCACTCTAGGCTGTAAGACTGGCTCGAGGGGCTGCTGAGTGGCCACAGACAACACCTAGCTCATACTGGGGCAAGCTTCGGCCCTGCCACCTATGCCCTCTCAGGGACCAAGGCAAGAAGGAATCCAAGGACTCTCCTATCTAGGGTTCCCTTGGATCCTGCCAGTTCCCTCCTGGGAGATCTGAGGCCTGGCTGCCGGTTGGCAGGAGACAAGCTGGAGGCTGTCACATTGTCTACAGAATCATGGTCCTGGAGGGTGCCATCCCCTTTCAGTGCACCCACATCAGGATCGATCAAGATGGGCTGATGGTGGGGGCAGAGGCCAGAGAGTAAGCAGACAGCGGCCTGTGCTGCCTTGTTCCTGTCTCAGAGTCAGCTAGCTCCAGCATGGGGCAGCCCCACTCTATCTTGCTGTGACCCCCAATGCAGCCAGCCAAGGCTTCTGATCTGCCGCCTCCCAGCTCTAGAACCTTCACTGGCCCCCTACTTCCCATTGACCAAAACTCACCACTGCTTATTAGCCTGGCGTGCAGTGACCTCTGGAACTGGCTCCAGTTTTATTTTCTAGCCTCATCTGGGCCCAAGGCACAATCCTCTTGCTCTCCTCTCTTAAGGGAGGGGACCAGGCACACCTCCTGCTGGCAGAGTTCTTGTTTGCATCCTCTCCTCCTATCAGTTTGAGAAGCTTGGGTTGGGCTGTGCGTGTCCACACCCTAAGGCAGCAGTCCTCCTGGGGCTTGCAGGACCCAGAGCCTTAGCCTTTGCCTGAATAAACCTCAGACAGCTCTCTCTGCAAACAGGCTGTGTAGGGGAAGCCCCTGCACCCTCTTCCGGGTCTGCCTGACTTTACAGATCCAGTCTTGCCAGAAATTAAGCACAAACCACAGGAGGTAACCTCTGAGATCCTAAACTTCCCTATGAGACACAGGGGAGAACAGGCGCCAGGAGTTCAGCACGGCAGGTGGTACTGTGCTGCGGGGGGACCCACACCTCCATAACAGAATGTGTGTGGGTTTGAGTCACATCTCCACTTTAGATCCAGCTTCCTGTTTCTGCCACACCCTAGGAGGCAGGAGGTCATGGCCCAAGTACTTGGGTCCCTGGGACCCACTTGAGAGACCAGAATGAAGTTCTGGGCCTGGTCCAGTCCCAATTGCTGTGGACATCTGGGGGAGCAAACTCACTGATGGAGTTATCCATCAGCCTTTTAAATACAATGAAAATAAAATAAAATAAGGAAGTGGGGATTATGTGTGGCTTGCCCTGTGCTGCAGGCTGCAGGATTTCAGCTGGAGTGGTGTTGTGTAAAGAGAAACCAACTGTGCTTTAGCAAGCAGGGCCAGCCTCCTCCCCACAACTTTGTTCCTCCTTTCCCTTGGGGTTTGCTCTCTTCCTCCTCATCCACTTCCCCTGGGGCCTCCATGATACTCCCCAGGCTGTGGTCATCCATCCACACTCGGCCCTGGCCAGAAACAGAGGAAATGAGCCTGCCTGGAGACCTCCAGGAAAGCTCTAGCTGGGCAGGTCCCCATCCTGCGACACCTGCTGATGAACCAGGGGCGTGCGCCCATAGCTTTGTGCAGAGGGGCCCTTCAATACTCCAGCAGCTGAGGCCAGGGCAGACAGTGCCCCTCTCTCTCCTTCCCTGAGTCAGCCAGCACACTCGACCCAGTCTTTGGGCTTTCCGGAAGCCTCTAGGCCCCAACTCTGTGGGCCCTAGTCCCAGTCCCAGTTCGGGCACACTCCCAGCTGCCTACTCTCTGCTCCTCCCAAGGTCGGCAGCTGGTGCCAGAGGCAGGCTCAGATTTGCTGCGTTTGGCCCAGGCTCTGGGCTGGAAAGTCCCAGCTAGTGCTGGTGAAGGGAGCGATTCATTTCAGCCAGCAGTCTGTCCGCCCCCTTAGCAACCCAGGCCTCCCAGGCAGAGCTGGGAGGAGGGGCCCACACCAGATCTCAGCGTTCTCCCCGCTCCTCCTGCTCCCTAGGCCAAGAAACTCTTTCTTCTTGTGCCTGTTAGTGCTGGAGAGAGGGGCTTGGCCAAAGGCCTGGCTCTGGCCTCAGCCCCTCCTGGGAAAATGTCTTTCAACTGGGAGGGGTGGGGGATGTGGAAGAGGCTGTGCAGGAGGGAGGCCAGAGCCTTTCTCTTGTGGGTAGGGAGAGCAGGGGCCTGTCCTCAGCTAACCCAGCCCCAGGAGCCCCCTTGCTCCAGAGCAGTGGGCCCACCTGGACCCCTGTTTCCATCTGCCAGTATGCCATCAAGCAGGTGCACCTGAGCAGAGGAGAGCGCAGCCTGCTCACATAGCCCACCACCTGCCTGTACAATGCTGTGGCCCTCCGCAATGTCCTCGGGCACGCTGGCCTCATAGCTGCTCTGCAGGAAAATGGGTCGGTTGTCATTCACATCCAGGACAGTGACAAACACGGTGGCAGTGCCTGTGCGTCGCTTGCCTACTGGACCGTTGTCTGTGGGTTGAAGGGAGACAGGTGTCAGTGGCGGCACTGGTCTAGGGCTGGCCTTTGAAGTGGGTGACTCTTCCTTTCCCAATCACACAAGACACAGAGGATGGTTGGCATGTACAGCATGCCACATTCCTGGCTTTGCTCTGACTCGCCAGCCATGTTGCAGGGGCACCATTATGATCCTGACTCTACAGATGCACCGGGGGCAGGCCAAACAGTGGCTTCTGGAAGATGCACCTGCCTCGGGTCCCCGGGAATCTTTGCAGGCTGACTCTCCTGGGGGAGATGTCACCCAGTGACTAAGGATTGTGACTCCATCCAGTGACCAGCGTCCTTCCCAGAGAAGGCCCAGGGAGGGTGGCACACAGAGGAGAGGGCCTAGGGAAGATGCAGGCAGAGGCTGGGTCCTGAAGCCACAGGGGACTGAAGAAGTCTGGAAGGCACCTTACCTTGACTTTGCACCAGCTTCCAGAACCATGAAAGAGGTTGCTATGGCTGGGCGGGCACAGGTCAGGGCTAAAAGCCCCGAAGGGCCTGCTCTGCTCCAGCCTACAGTACTGGATAGCAGTGCGTGGGGCTGGGGCCAGCTGAGTTCTCAAGAGGAATGGAGTATCAGACCTTTCAATAAAATTGGCTTTAAAGTGATCACAGCTGATGGTCATTTTTAATAATGTGAAGCATGAAGCATGGTCACACAAATACAGCTGTAGGCTTGGCTCCAACTCCAAACCCAAGATGCCCAGGACCTCCGGGCAGGAGAGGCTCCTGGGGCTAGAAGAAGGAGAGGCCCGCCCCAGGGGAAAGTGGCCAGGCTGTCATCCCTGGAGGAGGGCACCTGCTACTATGTTCAAGGCTGTGTATGAGGAGTCCCCAGGGAGGGTTGTAGGCAGCTGGGGATCTGAGGTCACTCCTTGCTTCTCCAGAATGGGGAAGCCCCCTCCTCCACCCAAATGGTCCCTCTTCCTAGTCTCAGCTGAAGGGCCCCTCTGTGGAAGTCCCAAGCCCATGCCTGCTGCTAGACCATACCTGGAACAAATGCTGAATTGGGAGGAGGATGACGGGGCTGGAGCTGCAGAGGGTGGGGACGGGAGAAGGGCCAGGTGTGGCGGCTGGTTGGGAAGGAGAGCTGGAGAGCTGGCTCCCTCTCACCTGGAGTTAAGCTTCACCACAGCCTTCTCCCTTCCAGATACCTGGAGACCAAAGACTAAACCTCCAGCCACCACGTGGGCTCCAAGGTCCACTTTGCCTGATGGTAGCCGCCTCCTCTCCAGCGCTACTCACACACACTCACACAGACATATGCATACTCACCTATATATGTACTCTGCAGCTCTTGCCCACCACCAGGCCCCTGCACTGGCTGGCTCCCAGCCTGCAGCACTTTCTGCTTCCTTACTGGCTGCAGCTGCCTTCCAGAACAGCGTGGTGTGCTGTGCAGGGCACAGTGGCGCCTACCGATGGCCTCCAGAATGAGGGTGCCTTCCACAGCTGCCTTCCAGGCTGCCTAGCAGCACCACCTGCTCCTCCCTGGGGAAACCTCACCCTGATAGTCCCCCTGAGGACCGTTCCCCACTTCCTGACTTCAAGGTCTGGAATGCCAGGCACATGAGCAAGCCCAGCTCCCATGATGGGCATATTGACTTAGGCCCAATGAGCAGGCACATCTCACACCTGGGGCAGAAGGGAGCAGATTAGAGCCAGTGTGGGGCTAGGGACTAGGCAAGAGCTGGTTCTGACCCTGGAGTGTGGGAAGGTGCAGGGATTGCCTTCCGTGAGGCAGAGAACGTTGCCAGCACCCAGGAGGCCAGCCGCCATGAGCACCTGGACCTCGAATCTGGTCAGACCCGAAGAGGATCTCCCAGCAGACAGGCTTTGCTCACACACACTGCTGAAGTCAGTTCATCCGGTTGTTCAATTTACAATCCAAAGAATCCTGACTCAAAGAGAGTCTCAGATAACACTTCTAGGAAGCCTTCTTTGACCTGCCCCCACTCCACACTCCCAACACCCTCTTCCCTTCCTGCTTGCTGTGTCTGGCAGTGTAATGATCGGTCTCCGGGTCTCCATGGAGCTACTGCCCCCACCACCCTGGCGCATCAGTGTCGCCTACAACTCGGGGCTATCTGCTGGGCTCCAGGCCTGGCCCCTGCAGGGTTGCCTGTGTGAACTCTGCCAGGAACAGTGTGGTGTGCTGTTCAGGGCACAGTGAAGCCTACCGATGGCCTCCAGAACGAGCGTGTATGCG